CCCCCCCCCACCCGGACGCGCGCACACGCACGGCCGATTGCCCCCGGCCGGCAGAGCCGGGGGCGGGGAGATGCAGCTGGATGGGCACTTGCCGGGTCGGTGCGGCGGGCTGCCGGGGGCACGGAGGTCGATGATTGCCGCGCGGGAGCGGTGGGCCTCCGCCATATGGGGGCGGGTGCCGGCGGGGCACGCGCGCACCCCCGCCCCGGCCCAGTGCACCCCACACATCCGGGCAACCGGACGCGGGGGGGGGGGCGGGGAAAAAAGATCCCGTCCCGGCGGCAGATATTCTCCCCCGGGTCGCGCGCGCGCGCGTGCGTGCGTGCGAACTCGGCCCCGGTCATTCTGGCGGCACCATCAGCTTTGTAGGACAGGCGAACACGCGCCCGGGGGGGGGGGGGGGGGCCGAGCGGGACGTCCCGGACGCCGGACCACAAGCAAAGAACGGTGCGACGGTCCGCGCGGCCGCCGCACACCGGCTGGCTCTCCTCCGGGCCCCGGCCCTCTGCCCGTCGGCGGCACCCCCGGCCGAGCTGTTTCATACCGCATTCCAGCAGCCCAGCCGCGCGCAGACCCCGGCGGGCCGATTGGCCACTCGGCCAGCCAGCTGGGCGGGGCGAGGCGGCCGGGGGAACGGCCGGAGATCAGCCCCCTGCCGCGCCCCTGCCCGGGGGCAAACACCCCGCGCCAAAGTGTAAACATGCGCACGCGCACGCGCACACGGCCTGCGGTCGGTTCTTGGGCGTGCATTTTCCGCCACGGCGCACGCAGACGCCGCGCCCCTACTGACCGGCATCCTCCCCACGGCTTGCCATCTCCCCTCCTCCCTCCTCACTTTTCCTTAGGTTGTCCGCCCCCCCCCCCCCCGCCCTGCCCGTTTCCACGCTCGCCCTTCCTCCCCTCTGCCCGCTCGCCCGCCCGCCCGCCCATTTATCCTCCCATCTGCCCCTGGTCTGACTCCCGCGCCCCAGGTCAGCCAAACGCCCCAGCTTGACACGCGCGTGTGTGTGTGTGCCTGTGTGTCTGTTCTTGTGAATTTTCCCTCCCCCCTCCCTCGTCCTCCCTTGTCCGCTTGCCAGCCATGCCCAGCCTCGCGACAATCGGCGCCATCCTGGTGCCGTCGTCCCTCCTGATGGGCTTCGCCGCCTCGACGATGTCCTTCACGGCCTGGTACGTGCCATTCGCGCGGCTCTCCGGTCGGCGCTCTCCCCCTCCCCCTTTCAGGCCTCAGGCTGACTTCGCGCCGGTCCCCTGCCGGCTGCCCTCTTCTCCCCGCTCCTGCCCCATCACAGGAACATGATCTGCCCCCTGCTCTTCTCGGCCTTCGGCTTGCCCGTCTTCCAGTCGCTCTTTGTGTCGGTCATGCTCGATGTCTTCAACGGCCTCACCCTGACCATCATTTATGGCATGAATGGCAAGGTACATCTCCCGCCTGCCCTGCTTCACAGTTTTTTTTCCCTCCCCCCCTCCCCTTTC